AATTATATATATAATTGTCCCAGGAGTTTGTGAAATACACATTGTACCCAGTGGTGGGATTCAAATATGTGAACAACCAGTTCTCTGTGTGGATGCCGCTTCCGGAAGTCCATTTTGGGCCTGGGCAACAAAAAATTAGCTACCGGTTCTGCTGAACTGGTGCGAACTGGCTTAATTCCACCACTGATGGTACCATTTATAGCAGACATGTCAAACCCGTGACGTCACATGATGTCGTGCAACGTATCGGGCCGGTTTTGCCATTGTCGGCAATGGGGTGGGCGTGGCTTCCATGTGACATGTTTGGCACATGGGCCGGCAGTTTGACACCCCTGATTTATAGTGTCCCCAAGGAATCATAGTTTTGTGTTCTGCCCTGAGTTCATTGGAGTTGGGCAGTCAATAAATTTAAATAAATAAGAAAACGATCTATAGAAATTGTTATAGTTGCAAAACATGTATGCATTATCATGCAGAAATGTAAGGATAGTATCTAACGTTAGATCTATTTTATCTAATAGTATCTCTTAGGAAGAACAGTTACTAAATCTAACTTTTATGTCTAAGTTTCTAGATTTTGCAGTGGGCAACGTGGTAGACTGGACTCACAAGTGAGATTTTCTTCTCAAATAAATATTAGAAGATTACAGAATTTTGGTACAGCTTTCCAAATACATTGGTGCTTGAAGATATTACTTAATTTTTTTACCTTTTTTCTTTACATAGGAAACATGAATGGGAAAAACATGGGACATGTGCAGCTGAATTAGAGGTTCTTAACTCACAAAAAAAATATTTTCAGAAGGCACTGGAACTCTACAGAAAAACTGACCTTAACAGGTGGGGAAAATTATTTTCTCAGAGTCTCTGCTACTCTTAACTTCATGTAAGACTCTCTGATAACAAACATGCATATTTCATTGGCTGCGATGGAATGTCTAACAGGCTCTGGGGGCATAATGAGAGAGTACAGTTGTTACAGGAGGAAGCAGGGCTATTACAAATTTGGGGAGGGGGAAACATGAGAAAGAGACCCAGAATAACTCCATATGCTACATGTAAGTTGAGATAGAGAATTCTTTAGGCAGCTTTTCCAAATTCTGTTATCCTATCATACCAGAATTACAAATCTTTACAGAAATAAAAGTAGTTCTTCCTGAATTTGCCAGTTATGGAGGGACATAATTAACAGACATAATGCTTCCTTAGAAGTTCAAAAATGTTTGTTGGAGAGAGTTGCTGTTGCATAACCAGGGTTTTTTTTGTAAAAAAAAAAAAAAAAAAAAGTACTAGAACTCACACATGTCATACAACCCGCTTTGTCTACCCTACAAGGTTCCATCCAAAAAAGGTGCCGGAACTCTGTTCTGGGCGTTCTATGACAAAAAAGCCCTGTGCATAACAAAAACATTATAGCATCCCTTAGTCTTGAATCTATTGGTGTTGCTGAGATCTCTCTCTCAGTCTCAGTGTTGGATGGAAGATTCCAACTCTAGGAATTATACTACACCATGTGTTTGTGTTCTCTTTAATGTAAATTTAAACTTCAAGCATCCATGAAGTTTAGAACTAGGAAAGGATAAAAAAAGGCATCACTAAGTGCCAGTCCAAGACAATTGTGGCTAAAAGCATTTGTTCTATATGTGATTATCAAATATAAATATTAAATGAACATGAGAAATTTAGATACTGTTGATCAATAAATGAAATGCAATTCCTCAAATTAGTCATAAAAATCAAACAAGAAATCCTTATATCTATGCACATATTCTTGAGACAGATAAGAAGATGAGGAACACAGCACTTTGGAAAAATAGTCTCAGTTGATACAATTTGAAATATTTTGTAAATACTCAGTTCTTGTAGGTTACTAGGTATTCTTTTTCAATTTCATCTCTGGCAGGACACCGTAAAATATGCACAATTATTTTACTAATGCTAACATTTGGTCAAACTACGTAAGCTAGAAGCTTTATCTAGAATTCTGTCTGTCATAAAACATTTTCCTAATGAAGAATTAGTAAGAGAGCTTTCAAGGATCCTAGCATTCCCTGAAACATACAGCAGGAATTTTAAATCTGTTTTTAGAAAATTGATAAAATTGATGTCATATAATATTTATCAGTGCACAATGTATAAGTATCCTAAAATGAGTCAATTACTTTGTAAACATTGTAAGGCTTCACTTATTCTATGGATTATCAATCCAGCTTTACTACACCCAATATTCCAGTTATATACAATAGGTCTTATAACAATTTAAAGAGAAAATGAGCAACAAAAATGTAATACTAAATACAATTTTAGATATACTATGTAGCTGAAAAACACTGGACTTCTTGAAGTTTTATGTATCTTTTGTGTCTAATTTTTTACATGTGGGAAAATAATGATGAATGACTATCTATAGTGTAATTGTATGTAGTGAATTCTGTCTTTTTAATGCTAGTTCTTTCTCTTTCAGTTTTCTCTTGAAAGTTGGGATAAAGCCAGGCTCTACCTACTATCAGGTGAGAGAAAAGCTCACTTGGCATTGCATTCTACAAAACTGTAGCCTTTAATTGTTGTTGTTGTTGTTATATAATACTTAGTGGTGAGTAAAATCTAATTAAGTCTTTCCACTGAAGAAGTAATTCCATTAGAACAGGGATATCAAACACGCAACGTCACGTGACGTGTCACGACGTATTGTGACTTTTTTTCCATTGCCGGCAATGGGGTGGGCGCAGTTTCGGCATGATGCATCTGGCCCACGGGCCGGCAGTTTGACACCCCTGCATTAGAAGAACAAACGTATCTAATCAAGATTCATTTCAGGGAATTTAAGGGTTTTCCAAAGCAAACTTTGGGAAGAAGGATGAAAAGAGACAATTCTTTTACAAATGCAGACTTTCATCTCATAACTTGTGTGTTTCTATTTTTCTTATTTTCATACAGAGTTTTCTTAAGTCTAAACTATGAAAACACATCTTTAATTAAACAGATGCTTCATTCTTTTTATGTTATTTATTTCATGTTTAAATCTTCAGCTGACAGCCGTCAAAGAAGCTCTTGAAAGCTTTTACAATGTAATGCCAAAGATTCAGTGTATTCCTCCTGAAGAGGTACATATTTCTCTTAATGACTTTCTAGTTAATGTTTAATCATTCTTTTCTAAAAACATTGTTTTTAATATTTGGAAGATTGAAAATTAAATATATCTAGTTATTTAATCATTCTTTCAAATGCATATTCAATACAGATTCATCAGCCTGCCCTCGACAATGATGAAAATCTCCTTTCCTTTCCTTTCCTTTCCTTTCCTTTCCTTGTTTTCATATGGTTTAGGTTTATGGAAATATATGGATGAAATCTTTCCTTTTCAAGTGGACCTTTGTATGATTATATTGCAGATCAGTTGGTTTAAAAAAACCTTTAGGTAATCCAGAAAGTATGAGGTCTTTTTTGGACTTTACCCAGTGACATTTTTGGCTACTTTGTTTACCTATTTCATTGATGAGGTGGCCAGCCAGTGCTAGTTGAAAAACTGATTGTCATTTCTCATTGATGGTATATGAGCTGTGGTGGTGCAGTGATTAGAATGCAGTACTGCAGGTTACCTTCTGCTGACTGCCGGCTGCCAGCAATTCAGCAGTTCAAGTCTCACTGGCTCAAGGTTGACTCAGCTTTCCATCCTTCTGAGGTCGGTAAAATGAGAACCCAGATTGTTGGGGGCAATATGCTGACCCTGTAAACCGCGTAGAGAGGGCTGTAAAGCATTGTGAAGCGGTATATAAGTCTAGGTGCTATTGCTATATTTGATGAAGGGGCACTACTTGAGAAAACATTTTCTAGAGTTCTACCTAAGTAGAAAATGCACAGCCTTTTGCATCTGTTGACTGAAGCTATTATTTTTTATGATATCTATTTTAAGTGTATGGATTTTAAAATATTTCCAAGGAACAGCTTCATTTTGAATATTTTTAATGCCATTTAACAGCAATAAAATATAATCTATGAAATCAATATGCATTTTCAAGTACAGCTTATTTCTGTACAAGGTTATTGACTTCAAACTGTGCTCATTTTTTTCCATTGCTGGAAGTACTGCTTTGAGCAAAATAGTTCATAAAGTTTACCGCCGTATATCAATATAAGCTTAATTTATCCCTTGGCCATCTAATTTCTGTTCTGGAAAAAAAATCTTGCTCAGTATTATTCCAAGTAGTAGATATTAAGTTTATTGTGTTGTTTGGTAACTATAAATGTAGTATAACATGCAGATGCAACTGTTGGCTTCTGAAGATTAAATTTATTCTGCTGAACTGTCGGTCATTGAGATATCAATAATTCCTTTATAAACTTTCCTATACTACTTTTTCTATAGTGTTGTTTTATTTTTCTTCTGCAGGGACGGCTACAAGTAATAGGCCAGATTAAATTCTGCTTTACCAAGGAGTTTACTCTGAGAAATTGTACAGAGGAACAATCTGGTTTATCTTCTGCATTTGAAGATGACTTTTTCAGAACAGAGGATCTGTCCGTTTGTAATGATACTTTGACTTACTATCCTTCACATATGAAAAGTTACAAACATTTTGTTGCAAATGTTGTTGAAATTTAGGAAAGTTGAACTTTTTAAAGTTTTGGCGGGGAACAATTATGCATTGGATTTATACAGCAACGCCATCTGTGAAGCTAGTATTAAGGGCTTTCTTTGTGTTTTGATTGGTGACTGCTTGTTTCGTTAAAATTGCTGTCCATATATAATGTACTTTTTCTTCAATAAAATTGGCTTATTTTTCATTTTTTCTCAAATTTATTAGGTGTTATTTTTAAATCAATATCAGTTGCAAAATTATTGCAATCTGTTAGTGATCTGCAATGTTCGTGACAAAATTTATTTAGCTACCTAAAAAAAACCTCGGCATATATTTGTATCAAATACAAGACTGTAGCAATTCATCAAGAAAAAGTCAACTAGAGCAGTAGATAGCCATCCTTAGGCAGCCTTATATTATATATTTTAAAAGCCCCAAACAAATGGTAAAGCATATAATTGTCTGGTTTGGTACAGCAACCAAACAGGACAGTTAGGACTGCAGAAAAAACAATTGCAACCAGCCTGCCTTCCATTGAAGACCTGTATCCTGCAAGAGCCAGAAAGATGGCTGAGAAAATATCTACAAACCCTTCACATCCTGGACATAAACTGCTTCAACTCCTCCCCTCAGGATGCTGCTATAAAGCCTTGCATGCCAAAACAACTAGAAACCAAGACAATTTTTTCCCTTGTGCCACCACTCTGCTGAAGGAATACCTTATTACAATACTGTCTTATGTTTAAGGATATTTACCCATGTAGTATGGCTATATTACTATTATGCTTCTCGTCTTTTCTACTACCTTCTCCTGTTGGTATCTTATGATTATATTACTTTCTTGTTTGTATGTACATTGAGAGCTTATGCACCAGAGACAAAATCCTTATACGTTCAATCACACTTGGCCAATCAAGTGTTCTCTTCTCTTCTATTTCTATTATTTCTATTCAAATTCAACATCAAAGTAACTGCTATGTTATAATGAATATGTGAGAGTAAAATACTCTAGAAAGAACAGGTGGTGAAACCTTATCCTTCCATTTTTTTTTCTAGAAGTACCTTTCCTAAAAATTACTCATGATTATATATCATTAAGAAATATTATTCATTGATGCAATGTGATTCAGGCTTTATATTTTACTATTGAGTTGATAATTAATCAGCCACATACTATTAAATTTTCTTCCTATTCATATCAAATTATTTTGCATTACATAATTGAGCCCAAGAGGGTGTCATTTTCCAGAGAGAAAAAAATGGACTTTGTAGCAATAATTTTCTTAAATATCAAGCTTCCCTGAAATTGAAAAGTTTTAAAGTAGACCCATTTATCTCTCAGTTTGATATGACATTCTTGGGGGAGAGCTGATTCCTGGTTTTATCCAATCTGACTGATCAATAAAACAAATTGATAGAAGTTTATTATTTAGAATTACAGGTAGACCTTGACTTATAACCATTTGTTTAGCTACCGTTCAAAATTACAATGGCATTGAAAAAAAGTATTTTATGACCAATCTTTGCACTTACAACCATTGCAGCATCCCCACAATCATGGGATCAAAATTTGGACATTAGGCAACTGTCATATATTTACGATGGTTTCAGTGTCCCAGGTCACGTGATTACCATTTGCAACTTTCTCAGCTGGCTTCCAACATGTGAAGTTAACAACTACAGTGGTTCACTTAACAACTATGGCAAAAAAAGTCATAAAATCAAACACATCTCACTTAATCACCTTGCTTAGCAAGAGAAATTCTGGCCCAAATTGTGATCACAAGTCAAAAACTACTGTTTTTATCATATCGTATCTTATTATTCTTTGGAGGAATCCAGGAGGAAATATAAAATCTCACTTTACATTTAATCAACATATCAGTTTAGTACGGTAGATTAGTATAAGAGATCATTAAAACAGTGGAATTCCTATGTATAATCAAAATAAGAAAAATTACTCTCAGAAAAATGGGTAAATGGTCCTCAGAATAAAATGTATGTAAAGTATTCTAATAATAACAAATAGATATAATTCAGAGCCTAAGATAATGACTACATTCTTTACGCTTTTTCTTCTCATCATCCTAAATTAAAAATATTTGGCCAGTTCTTGTAAGTCTTGGGAATTATCAAATCTGTGCTGACTTAATGATCCTCTTTAGCCTGAGAAGTACTGGTTCCTAACTTGCTAACTTCATGCACATTCATCTGCTCTCTTCCAAAAATATGTGTAATTTCAAAAATAGATATCATGTTTTAATTTGTTGTAATATTGCACAGTAATTTTACTTACCTTGTAGGAATGGAAAGATTTCTTTTAGCTACTACTATATTTAGAAAATTGCAAATGAAACAGTCTTAATATCAATATGCTTTTAAAGTTGATTTTGTGCAGTGGTAAAGAGCGTATTTAAGCACACAATATTCACTACATAAATGGGATTCAGTTATGACTAGCATAACTGAATAAACATATATCAAGATTTATCTACGGATTTGTACCAGCTTATTTTTTTTAGGATTCCTGTCTGGTCTAGTAATCACCTATCCCTATGATTAGTACTTTTTCCTGCTTGCATATGTACTCAGACACACAAGGACTTATACTGGGGCTTTACAAATATAAATACATGATGGCAACATCACACTAGGAGTTTCTACATTTCTATTCTTTAAAAACAGCTACTGACAGCATGGTGAATCATCACATAGTGAGTACAATGTGCTACCAATTCTTATTCTTTCTCAGAAACCTTGAGAAGATTACAGTATCTGTAATTTCCTGAAGATGTTTTACTACCTGGGGCATTTCTTAAATGGTATAATTTAAATAATTGATCAATTGTTTGTTACCCCATTTTTTCCACACAAGCAAGTACTTGAGATTCAAATAAATTGGTGTTCAGATTCCAGTGGAAATATTGTTGAAATCTGGCCCATAATCATATTCCTAAACACTTTCAAAAGGAACTGGTGAAGTAAGGACCTGTTTGTTAAGATTTTTCCAGATAAGTTGCTTTTTCTTGGGGTCTACATCCAGGAGAATTCTTACACATTACATCTGGAAGGCCCTGCCTAATTTCCTTAGTCATTTTTCATTTATAGAGAAGTGCAATGACATGATTGGAAAATTAAAATATCTTAAAATAACCTTCCCACAGCTTTTCCTTTTCTCCTTTATATAGGTGTATGAGTTTACCAAACCTGACTTGTAACATTTAAAAATTAGAGTACTGTAACTGCTTAGCAAGGTTGGCACCAGTGGAAGATCAGAATGGCTTGGTTAGATACAGCACTTGAAAAATAATTTTCAGGGCAATAGCTGCATTGGCATTACATACTTAAACATGTCAATGACAATTCAAGTAATCCAGAATTGGAAACCAAGGTTTAGATGTTGGATATATTAGCTTACTATTCCTATTTAAATATTCCCATTTCATATTAAATAAGCCCAAATATAATATTTCTTTGAGTTTAATTCTCTGCAAATTCATCTGTGATGGCCAATTAAAGCATCTGTTAAAGAAGCTTCTTCTACCCTGCCATCACTTTTCTTCTTTATTTACACATCCAACTTTAGACACACTGAGAATGAAACTTATGGACCAAAAGGGAATGGGCAAAGGTGACATTTTTCTTCATCTTTTTTATGTTGGCTCTGACCAACTATCAGGCTAATACAGATCTTTTTTTAAAAAAAGAATATTTTAATATGTAAAAAGGAATGGCAATCAGCTATTATGAGCCCTGGTGGCACAGTGGTTAGAATGCTGTATTGCAGGCTAACACAGCCAGGAGTTCAAACCTGACCGGATCAAAGTTTACTCAGCATTCCATCCTTCCAAAGTCGGTAAAATAAGGACCCAGATTCTTGTGGGCAACATGCTGACACTGTAAACTGCTCAGAGAGAGCTGTAAGGCACTATGGAGCTGTATACAAGTCTAAGTACTATTTCTATTGCTATAAAGATGGGATCTTGTTCAAGATAGTTGCTACCTAAAAAACAAGGTTCTCCTTAGTCTGCTGGATCATTCAGAGTGCAGTCCCTAGTGAGTAGTATTACACTGTCCAAGATCCAGATAGCCTTGTTGCATTCCTGTCATGAGATAGAATCACTTGTGCTGCATATACAATACAGGTTTGCACTGAGTCTCCAGCAAATCAAAGAGAATTGAGACTTACTTACATCCTGATTAAGGGTAGCACTACATACTATATTTTTCAATTAGCATGAACAGAGACAATGCAATATTCTCATTATTTCCTTCTGTTCAACACAGTTATATTTATTCTATGAGCAGCATAGTTTCAGTTTGTATAATGTACTGCATATCATCAGTTGAAATAAAGCCATCACTTAAAAAAAAAAGTCATGTAGATTTGCAAAGGAGTGTTACCATTTAAACTTGTAGTGTGACACTAGGTGATAATCTGTAAAAGTAATGGAATATGAAGCCTCTGTTTTTCTCATTCTCTCCCTTTCTTTGTGATCATCTGTCATAAAGCTTTGTTGACTGCCATCAGCTCCTGCACTTGCTTTTTGTTGCTATTTTTCTGTACTTATATGTAAATGCAGGTCATTTGCTGCCTGCTTTTTCTTTTCATCCCCCCCCCCCTCTGCTTACTTACCTTTAGGGCTGGCTATAGGACTGTTTCAATCTGGTTGTGCAGAATTGTTTCTAAGGGCATTTGGTTGAAAGATTTATGTTGAAGCTGCAAGAAGGATGGCTTTAATTCCTGCCCAGTTCATTAGTATACATATTTCATGTGGCTTTTCATTATTTATTTTAAACTCCTCAGAAACTACAGTAATGATCAAACCATGCATTTAATAAATTCTCTGGACTGAGCAGAGATCTCTTAGAGTCAAATAAATATGGACAGAGAGCATTGCTTGATGGCCAGGCCACTAGAATGCACATCGTGTGGATAACTGCAACAACATTTGCTCTCAGAAAGCTGATTGCCAGGCTGGTCGCTTTGTTCTGACCAAATTAAGGATGCATTTTGATTTTTTTTTTTTAAAAAAAAAGGTGTTGTAAACCTGATTAGATTCACTGGGCAGTCCATCTTCTGCCTACCTATATGACATTTCATTGACCTCAATACAAATTACTTCAAATGAAATGTATATAGAATTGTTGCCTTGCTTTGGAGAAAATGTGAACTGATATAACTCCCAGTAGTTATAACTGCCTATGACTTGATAAAATCATTTTGATTTAAACTATAATAGCAATTCATTCAATAATCAGCTTATACTGTATGGTGATTAGTTCAGCTTTCCAGTTTGAAGAGCCTTTTGCCATGACCCCTGATGCATATAAAAGAGAAGCAAGTAGGCAGGAATCTCATTATTATCTAGCATAATACTCCTGTAGTGCCTCCAAAAGACCTGGATATGGGTATGTGGCTTTAATTTAGGAGAAGAGACTTCCCTAAGCTTCCAGAAGCATAGATGCCTCAGATGGTATATGAATAGCTGCTCATCTACAGGAATGATTTCCACAAAAGTGTCAAGTTCTTATTGGCTGAAATATGTAGTCCCGATACTTGGTTCAGGAAGTTTGCATTAGTGCCTAGATTTTAAAAATACTATTAATGTTTTAATCTGAATGTTGCTCAAATTAAAAATCACAGAGAAAACAAATGAACATTTCATAAAGAGGAAAGATCATATAGTCATACTTCAGTCTATGTTGACATCTCTTGAATGGGAAAAAAAAGAGGTTGTACCAAAAGTGCTAGCCACAACAATCTGCAGAAACATTTATGGTACAGTTAATATACTTCCAAATTGCACTGAGTTCTTAGAAGGAAAGAAACTAAGGAGTATAAACTTACATACTACATTTTCTCAAAGAACAGATTGGTTTATGTTAGAGTAGGTAATGTTAATAATTAGGTTTACAAACTCTAATAATATTCCTTATTATAAAGAGAGGGCTCTGTCCTAAGTGGTAACAGGGCTGGAATTAATTTTCTTGTTTATTCAGAGTGAAAAGAAAATT